TCCTTCTCTTCCTCCTCCTCTTCCTCATCTTCCCCCTCCTCCTCCTCCTCCTCCTCCTCCTCCTCCTCCTCCTCCTCCTCCTCCTCCTCGCCTCCTCCTCCTCCCTCCTCCTCCTCTCCTCCTCCTCCTCCTCCTCCTCCTCCTCCTCCTCCTCCTCCCTCCTCCTCCTCCTCCTCCCTCCTCCTCCTCCCTCCTCCTCCCTCCTCCTCCTCCTCTCCTCCTCCTCCTCCTCCTCTCCTCCTCCTCCTCTCCTCCTCCTCCGCCTCCTCCTCCTCACTTTCTTAGTCCTGATCGTCCTCGTCCTCATCATCCTTCTCCTCGTGTTGCTCCTGTTGCCTCTCCTCCTCCTCCTCCTCTCCTCTCCCCTCCTCATAATCAGAATCATCATCATCATCATCATCATCATCATCATCATCATCATCATCATCATCATCATCATCATCATCATCATCATCATCATCATCATCATCATCATCATCATCATCATTATCATCATCATCATCATCATCATCATCATCATCATCATCATCATCATCAGCATCATCATCATCATCATCAGCAGCAGCATCATCATCAACATCACCATCTCATCATCATCACATCATCATCATCACCCATCATCCTCATCATCATCACAACAGCAACATCATCACAACAGCACAGTATCTGCATCACATCAGCATCCTCATCATCATCACCATCACCATCATCATCATCATCAGCAGCATCAGCATCATCATCAGCATCATCAGCATCAGCATCAGCATCATCATCATCATCATCATCATCATCATCATCATCATCATCATCATCATCATCATCATCATCATCATCATCATCATCATCATTATCCTGCTCCTGCTCCTGCTCCTCCTCTTTCTCCTCCTCCTCCCCCTCCCCCTCCTCTCCCTCATCGTCCTCCGTCGCCTCATCCTCATCCTCCTCCTCCGCCTCCCCCTCGTCTTCGTATTAGTAGTATGATTGCTATCGTTATTGGTATCAGTATTATTCTGAGTGTTCTTGATAGCATGATTCGTCGTATTCGTATTACTAGTATTATGATTGCTACGATTATTAACAGTATTAGTAGTCTACGTCGTCGTATTATTCGTTTCAGTAGTGATAGTCTTCGTATAATGGTTCGGCTTCTTTTTAGCCATAGTAGTGTTCATACCCTTCGTATTGATAGTGGTACTACTATTCTCAGTAATACCATTGTTACTATTTGTGCGTATCATCAGCAAACTTACGCTTAGTCTTAATAGTTTCTGTGCTAGCATTCGTAATAGTATTCTTCGTCGCATCCGTAATATTAGTATTCTTCTTAATACCATAGTATTGGTACCCCAAGTCGTCGTAGTGTTCCTGTGATTCGTCGTATTATAAGATTCCGCATCTTCGCATTAGTAGTAGCATTACCATCAGTAGTACGATTAGTGTAACGAGTAGTGTTAGTAGCAACACGTTCATTATTCCCCATATCCTAAGATGGGGTTCTTGTTATTACTTGGACGCCTCCTACTCCCTCTCCCTCCTCCTCTTTCCTCCTCCCCTCCTCCTCTTTCCTCATACTCGGACCTACTCATACTCAGACTTACTCATACCCAGACTTACTCATAATCAGACCTACTCATACTCAGACTTACTCACACTCAGACATACTCATACACAGACTTACTTATACACAGACTTACTCACACCCAGACGTACTCATACACAGATTTACTCATACCCAGACTTACTCATACACAGTATTATTCATACTCAGACTTACTCATACCCAGACGTACACACACACAGATTTTCTCATACACAGACCTACTCATACCCAGACTTACTCATGCACAGACTTACTCATACACAGACTTACTCATACTCAGGCATACTCATACTCAGACCTACTCATACTCAGACTTACTCAACACACATCAGATTTGGAGGATGTCTCAAGCGGGGCGCTGGTTTCAGCACCCCTAAGGGGAGCCGCCAGGGGTGGTTGCACGGGCTCGTTCGCGGCCATTTTGTGGGGATGTCTCAGGCGGTTTGCTTGTTTCTGGGCCCAACATCCTTCGCTTGGAGAGCAGATTGTGAGGATGTCTCAGGCGGGGCGCTGGTTTCAGTAAGGGGCTCGCCAGGGGTGGTTGCTCACGGGCTCGTTTTTCGTTCGCCCATTTTGTGGGGATGTCTCAAGCGGTTTGCTTGTTTCTGGGCCCAGCATCCTTCGCTTGGAGAGCAGATTGTGAGGATGTCTCAGGCGGGGCGCTGGTTCCAGCACCCCTAAGGGGAGCCGCCAGGGGTGGTTGCACGGGCTCGTTCGCGGCCATTTTTGTGGGGATGTCTCAGGCGGTTTGCTTGTTTCCGGGCCCAACATCCTTCGCTTGGAGAGCAGATTGTGAGGATGTCTCAGGCGGGGCGCTGGTTTCAGCACCCCTAAGGGGAGCCGCCAGGGGTGGTTGCACGGGCTCGTTCGCGGCCATTTTGTGGGGATGTCTCAGGCGGTTTGCTTGTTTCTGGGCTCAACATCCTTCGCTTGGAGAGCAGATTGTGAGGATGTCTCAGGCGGGGCGCTGGTTTCAGCACCCCTAAGGGGAGCCGCCAGGGGTGGTTGCACGGGCTCGTTCGCGGCCATTTTGTGGGGATGTCTCAGGCGGTTTGCCTGTTTCTGGGCCCAACATCCTTCGCTTGGAGCAGATTGTGAGGATGTCTCAGGCGGGGCGCTGGTTTCAGCACCCCTAAGGGGAGCCGCCAGGGGTGGTTGCACGGGCTCGTTCGCGGCCATTTTGTGGGGATGTCTCAGGCGGTTTGCTTGTTTCTGGGCTCAACATCCTTCGCTTGGAGAGCAGATTGTGAGGATGTCTCAAGCGGGGCGCTGGTTTCAGCACCCCTAAGGGGAGCCGCCAGGGGTGGTTGCACGGGCACGTTCGCGGCCATTTTGTGGGGATGTCTCAGGCGGTTCGCTTGTTTCTGGGCTCAACAAGGGAGGGAAATGACAGGAACGAGGATGAGGAGGAGGAACAGGAGGAGGAGGAGGAGGCGGGGGATCGTGAGGAAGGGCATGGGGGTGCGGAGGGGGAGGGGGAGCAGGAGGATGAGGAGGAGGAGCAGGAGCAGGAGAAGGGAGGGGGCGGAGGAACAGGAGGAGGAGGAGGAGGAGGAGGAGGGCGCTTTGCTCGAAGGTCCTTGACGCGAGCAGAACGTTTGTTCCGAAGTCCAGGACATATATATATATATATATATATATATATGTATTCATAGGGGGTGACTGCGAGGGGGGGGGCGGTGGTTGTGTGCGGGGATCGCTGGAAATGCTCACCGTGGCACTATCCTCCAACATGACATGCACTTATGGCCTTGTGTGGCTAAACGCTCGTCTTACATATCCCACTGCCAACTATCCTACAACATATGCACATGTGGGAAGCTCCAAAGCTACCACGGGCTGAAAAGGGGAAGGCCTGGCAGCTGAGGAGGGGGGATGAAGATGAAGAGGCTCGCATGCAACCATACTCAAAGCTCACTCTGACTCATACGCAATCACTCGCATTAGGGGTCACTCGTCTTCGTCGGCCCTGTCGCCCACGTGGACGCGCTATTGTCGTCGACCGCTCATGAACAGACGCTCACCACGGCATGACATAAAGCATGAGATGCACATATGGGGAGCTCCACGCAGTGAGTAAGTATTATAAGTAGTATTCGTATTAGTCGCATTATCATGTTAAGCATACTTCAAATCGCGTTACTATTGTTAGTACTGTAACAAAGATTAGCAATAATATTGTTATCGGAATCAGCATCCTCAGTAGTAATAGTACTAGTACTAGTATGTTCAGAATCACTACTAGTACTATAAGTATTAGTAATCGTGCTAATAATAGTAGTAAGATTACTAGTACAATTAGTACTAGTAACTTTAGTAGTAGAATTACTAGTATTGAAATTATTATTGTGATTAGTATTAGTATTCGGTGTAGCATGAGTCCTCTCATTAGTATTAGCATCATTCGTCTCAGTATTACTCATGATCCTCATCCTCCTCCTCCTGATCCATCTCCTCTTCATCCTCCTCACCATCCTCCTCTTTCTCGTCTTCATCCTCCGCCTCCTCCTCATCATCATCCTCCACATCCTCCTCATCCTCCTGTTCCTATTCCTGTTCCTCCTCCTCCTCCTCCTTCTTCTCCTCCTCATCCTCCGTGTTTTCCTCCTCCTCCTTCTCCTCCTCCTTCTCGTCCTCCTCCTCCTCCCCTCCTCCTCCTCCTCATCCTCCTCCTCCCTCCTCCTCCTCCTCCTCCTCCTCCCCCTCCTCCTCCTCCTCCTCCTCCTCATCCTGCTCCCCTCCTCCTCCTCCGCCTCATCCTCCTTCTCCGCTTCATCCTCCTCAACCTCCTCCTCTCTTCCTCCTCCTCCTCCTCTTCCTCCTCCTCCTCCGCATCATCCTCCTCATCCTCCTCCTCCTCCTCCTCCTCCTCCTCCCCCTTTTCATCCTCCTCCTCATCATCATCCTCCTCCCCCTCCTCCCCTCCGCATCCACATCCTCATCCTCATCCTCCTCATCCTCCTTCTCCCCCTCCTCCTCCTCCTCCTCCTCCTCCTCCTCCTCCTCCTCTTCCTCAGCCTCCTCCTGCTCCTCCTCCTGTTCTTTACCGCGTGGACGAAGACTATGTTGGGATCGCGGCCCTCCCTAGTTCTGACCTGTTGATGAATTGCCACGGGGTGTAAACTCGACCAACTTCCTGCCGCGCAAACGAATACGGGGTCGAGTCCGCGACCCATCCTTATCATACCAGTTGTCGGTATAGCGCTGTTTTTTACGCTCAATACTATTCCTGCAGCGCTGTTGCACAAGCACGGCGGCGGGGCTTGCCGCAGGCAGCTGGATGCGCATGTCTGCGTAGATCTATACATATATACATACATACATACATACATACACAGATATATGAAAACACAATACACACACGTATACGTGTATCCTCGCCGCCCGGGGCGCGCGAAGCCTCGTCGGCGTAGCTCGGCGGGTGGGCCGCCACCCCGGCGGCCTCGGAGCACGCCGCCGCCATCGCCGCCGCCGCCTTTGCAACCGCCAATGCCGCCGCCGCCGCCGAAGCGGGCGCCGCCGCATCGCCAGCCCTGGGCGTGGATCTGGTGGACCCGAAGGCCACAGGCCCTCGCGGTAGCCACGGCCCGCCCCGCGGGTGAAACTGGAGGGGGCAACGGGGCCAGGAAAGGGGAGAGGAAGAGGAAACGACTAGAAATGGGAAAGATTGTCTTCCGCAAGGGGAACCGCAGAGCGATGTGTAGAGTGAAATGGGAAAGATTGTGTTCCGCAAGGTCCAATACGACAGCGGCAGGGACAGGGTGCGAAGCAGGCAAAGCAAGAGGACGCACGGTTCGAGTCTGGTGCTCAACGGAGTCCGTCGTGCCGTGCACAGGCTAGCAGACAGCAGCAAAAAGGACTCGAACGAGCGCCCTTCGCATAAAAAGTTGCCTGGCCGCGAGGGGGCAAATTCACCCTGGTTCGGCTGGCCCGCGGATTGGCGGACTTCGCTCCATCCCAAAGGCACATTAACCCCTTCGGCGCCAACCGCAAAAATATGTTACGGTGCTAGGGGAAGGGATGGAGGTCTCCCCGCCAGAGCTCATCATCATCATCATCATCATCATCATCATCATCATCATCATCATCATCATCATCATCATCATCATCATCATCATCATCATCATCATCATCATCATCATCATCATCATCATGCTCATCATCGTCATCGGCATCATCATCATCATCATCATCATCATCATAAGCATCATCAGCAGCAGCATAATCATCATCACCATCATCCTCATCCTCATCCTCATCATCATCAGCATCATCATCACCATGATCATCATCAGCAGCAGCATAATCATCACCATCAGCAGCATCAGCATCATCGTCAGCAGCATCATCATAAGCAGCATCAGCATCAGCGACAGCATCAGCAGCAGCATCAATATCATCATGGGCATCAATATCATGATCGTGATCACCATCATCGTCATCAGCATCATCATTGTCAGCATCATCATGATCAGCAGCATCAGCATCATCATCACCAGCATCACCATCAACATAGACAGCATCATCATCCACAACAACAGCATCACCAGCACGAGTAGTATCAGCATCATCATCATAACCCGCAGCATCAGCAGCATCAGCAGCATCATCGTCGTCATCATGATCATCATCATCATCATCATCTTCAGCATCTGCATCATCATCATCAGCATCGTCATCGTAAACATCATCATCTTCGTCATCAGCATCATCAGAATCCCCATCATCATCGTCAACACCATCGTCATCATTATCATCATAATCATCGTCATCATCATCATCATCATCATCATCATCATCATCATCAGCTTCATCAACATGATCATCGTCATTACCATCGTCACAATCATCAGCATCGTCATCATCAGCAGCAGCATCATCAGCATCAGGGTCATCATCATCAGTATCATCGGCATCATCATCACACTCATCAGCATCGTCCTCGTCATCCCCATCATCGACATCAGAATCATCAATATCATTATGACGTCGAAGATAAGAATGACGATGACGGTGAGGAGAATGATGATAATTAGGAGGAGGAGCATGTTGGTGATGGTGATGCGTATGATGATGATGGTGTAGATGGCGGTAATGATGACGGTGAGCATAATGATGATGGTCGTGATGCTGAGCAGGATGGTGGTCACGATGCTGATGATGATGATGATGGTGGTGATAATGATGATTGTGACTGTGATGGTGATGGTAATGGTGATCATGATGATGGTGGCGGTGGCGATGGTGCTGATGGTGATGATGGCGGTGGTGATGATGATGCTGATCATGATAGTGATCATGATGATGATGATGATGATGATGACTGTGGTGGTAATGATGATGATGGTGATGGCGATGGTGAGGGCGCCATGGTGGTGATGGTGTTCATGATGATGATGATGATGATGATGATGATGATGATGATGATGATGATGGTGGTGGTGGTGGTGATGATGATGAGGGTGGTGGTAGTGGTGGAGGGTGGTGGTCGTGACGATGATGATGATGATGATAACGCTGAGACAGGTGATGATGATAAGGATGGTGATGATGGCTCAGCGAGGGCCCCCCATGGGCCAAGGCATCCCTCCTGTCGCCCCTGTACTTTGGCTCGTCCAGGGCTCTCGCCCGTCCCGCGGGCGGAGCCAGTGCGGCGGGGCCCGCGCCGCTGAGCACGCGGCGTGAAACACCGCCGTCAACAGGACCACGCGCGCGGGGGACATCCTGCCTGGCGACCGACCCCCCTCCCCATTCTTCATTTACGTCCTTCACCCTCCTCCCTCCTCCCTCCTCCCTCCTCCCTCTCCCCCTTCCCCTCCCCCTCATCCTCCTCCTCCCTCCTCCTCTTCCTCCTCCTCCCCCTCCTCCTTCTCCTCCTCCTCATCCATTTCCTCCTCCTACTCCTTCTCCTCCTCCTGTGATGTTTCTTCGTCTTACTCTTCTTCTTATTACTAACATGATTATTATTCGCATTAACCGGAGTTTCTTACTATCATTTCTAGCATGGTCGTTTTCAAAATGTGGCTCTCGCCGTAGCGCCGCGCACATTCGTTTTCAAAATTTGCAGGAGCTTCCTGGATTGAGGGCGGGCCGTTTTCAAAATGTGGCTCTCGCCGTAGCGCCGCGCACATTCGTTTTCAAAAGTTGCAAGAGCTTCCTGGATTGAGGGCGGGTGGTTTTCAAAATGTGGCTCTCGCCTTAGCGCCGCGCACACTCCTTTTCAAAAGTTGCAAGAGTTTCACGGATTGAGGACGGGTCGATTTCAAAATGTGGCTCTCGCCTTGGCGCCGCGCACATTTATTTTCAAAATTTGCAAGGGCTTCACGGATTGAGGGCGGGTTCATTTCCAAAATGTGGCTCTCGCCTTAGCGCCGCGCACATTAGTTTTCAAAAATTGCAAGGGTTCCACTCACAAATTCCCATGATCAACGTACCAGAAATGGCGTTCTGGAAGGATTCTGCATTATGCTGGTGCAACAGTTATGTTGATTCGCGGTGTTGATGTCCCAGAAACGGCGTTCTGGCACGATTCCGGATCGTCAAGACGCCGCATTCAGGTTGATACGTGGCGTTGAAATCCCGAGAACAATGTTTTGGCATGCTTCAGGATCTTCAAACGGTTGTCTTCCAACGAGGCAGTTCCCTCAATGGAAGTGAACTGTTGTAGGGGCCTATGAAGAGGGAGCTTGGAGGGAGGGCTAATTCCCACATCGTTGATGACTCTGGGGTTTACACTGCTCCTACTCCTCCTCCCCGTCCTCATGCCCATCCGCCTTTTCCTCGCACACCCCTATTCCACCCGCTTTCCTCAGAACCATGGCTATCATCATCAGCATCCGCGCCATCATCGCTTATCCTTATCAACACCATCATTAGCAGCGTCATCATCATCGCCACCACAACCACTACCATCGTCGTAATCATCACGTTCATCAGCATCATAATGGTAATCGTCATCATCAGCAGCAGCATCATCAGCAACATCATCATCATCATCATCGACATCATCATCATCATCAGCAGCATCATCATCACCATCATCATCACCATCTTTAGCATCATCAGCACCATCATCATTATCATCATCATCATCAGCAGCATCATCATCGTCATCATCATCATCATCCCCTCCCCTCCCCTCACTCGCCGTCCCTGCCCGTCCCTTCCATTCCTCCTCCGCATCCTGTACTTCCTCCCACCCCTCCCTCCTTTTCCCCTCAGCGTGTCCTCCTCAACATCATCGGCGTCATCATCTCTCTTCCTCCCTGGTGTCCCCTCATTCTTTCTCCTCCTGCTCACCACGACAACGACGACGACGACGACGACGACGACGACGACGACGACGTCCACGTCGCCGACGATGTCGTCATTGCCCTCCTGCAAAACCAAACAATCACAGCCCGGGTCCTGTCACACCGTGCAAAGCACCCAAAAGAAAGGGGAGCGCTGGCTGGTTTTTCGATGATGTGCACGTTCTTGATTGTTCTGGCGTCTGACAATCAAAAACAGCATGAGAGGCCCCCCGACCGGCCAAAGACTATGGCGCCCAACTCCCCAAAAATGCCACCAGAGGCCCCCGAGGAAGCCCTCAGGGGCCCCCAACGACCCCTGGAGGTTTGAAAACGCTCCAAGACCCCCCCCCCACCCCCCCGCAGGCCTCGAATAGACCCCCAACAAGCCCCGCAAGAGACGCTGAGGATGGGGAGACCGACTCAGCAGCAACTGCGCGCAGGCAGCACAACGGAAAGCGGCAAAAAACGCGTACGAAGTCGGAGTCCGCACAACTCCTCTTCAGGGGTTCAGCAGAATGGCACAAAGCCACCTGGACAAAACAAAATACTGAGGCGGAATGGACACAACGCGGCATGCAACAGCACGCTGGGCACGGAACCAAGCAAGGGCAAAGAGAGCATGCAAGAAAAGCCAGGAGCAAAAGGTCGGCCTCATCCTCACCCGCAGAGTCCTTATCATCCTCATCATCATCTTCATCCTCATCCTCATTATCCTCATCCTCACCTTCATCATCACCATCCTCCTCCAACTCCTCAGCATCATCATCATCATCATCATCATCATCATCATCATCATCATCATCATCATCATCATCATCATCATCATCATCATCATCATCATCGCGTTTGTCCGTAGCTAGGTCGGCTGAGTGGGGAGTTCGCAGACTCACGCACGCTCCAGTCTGTCGCAGCTCGGTGCCATGCCAGTCAGCCGCAGGATTGGATAACGAGAGTTATCGCCACAAGAGAATCATCTTCTTCCTGCACGTGGCCGAATACAGTTCCACGGTCGTGCAGGGCTCACTACACTACATACATATTTCGGTGGCGGAGTACCAGATGCCAGTGAGGCTACCGTGGCCGCGTCCCCCCCACCATGGCCGGTGGCCGCAGGACCAAGTTGAACACATTCGAGCAGCTCTTCTGCATCCAGGACGTGGAGCTGCTGCTGAAGTATCTGGATGGGCAATTGGCAGATTGCAACAGAATGATATCCCGTGTTTGTCGCTTGCCGTCGCTGAGTTGGCAGACCAGATCGCGGGCCCCCAGCAGGTAGCAGGCCGCAATACTTCGGGCCTGGGGGAAAACCTTGCAGTGGCGTGGTCGACTCTCGGGATGGCCTTTCTTCACAAAGCTCACGCACGGTGCCGACCGATGTCCTGGGCTCGACGAGTCTGGCCTGCACTACCACCACTCGTGCAGGCCGCAGTCCAGCAGAAGAGCACGGACTACATCATGGGCGTCCACGCGGACATCCTTGAGCCCAGGAGCGTCACCTACATATATGTCCTGTTTGCGCACTCTGGTTTCTATATTGGCAAGTGCAATGGCCAACGTCGCTCGGGGATTCCCTCAGGCGTCGCGGCCCGCGCGATGGAGCATCCCCGAGCGCTTCGACTACCAGCTACACGGGATGGGAAGATCGCACGGTATCGCCTGCTGCGGGAGTCGCTGGGCTCAGTGGCTTACCTACCAGCGTACCACTTCGAGTCGGAGGTGCGGGCCCTGGCCATGGAGTCTAGCCTCATTGGCATGCTGGACCCACCATGCAATGGTCTCGATGTGGCGCAGCTGCGCGCCATGACACAACAAGCGGACCCTCTTCGCCTCAAGCCACCTGTCCGACGACGACGACCCCACAAGCGGTTTCGTGCTTCAGCGTCGGTGTCATCAGCCTGGCTCGCACACCCAGCGCAGAATGCCTTTGCTAAGAAGCTCAAGCATGAGGAGAAGGAGAATTGTATTTCTGACAGCTGGGGTCCGTGGAGGACTTTGTATCAACGAGTACAATTGCATATTTTACTTACGCCAGGCGAGCATGGCCCACTATCAATCCTACAACCACAGTGGACCAATCTTTTCCTAGCTTTCTTCGCCTCAACCAAACCACGGTTTGAGTTCCCACCAGAGTGGGATCGAGCCCAAGCCGCATCCGTTCTATATCGTGCTGGGGGTTCTTTGACAAAGTACGTGAAGGGCATGGGCCGACAACTCGCAGCTCGACGCAACATTGAGTGGCATCTTCGACGATCACGGCTCCCACCTTTACAAGTGCGTCCGATTTTATTACCGATTTTTCTGCGGAAACATAAGAATGTGGTCAAGAAGCTTGCATGGACATCCCTACAGGAAATGCGGGTAGCACCAGCAAGGTCGCGGCTCCAGAAACACATTAAGATATGCTATCAGAAGGACCAGACATGGGTTCAGCGCTTGAATGGAAAACGGGTTCTTCGAGATTTACCAAAGGCTTGGGTATCTGATTCGGACGTGTCGGATCTAGGACGATGGGCCCAACTTCCTTCGTTGGTTGCTTATGATGCTCCATGGAGGTTGAAGCGGTGGCCGACAGCACGACGGATCAAGAGAACAGCCCTGAAAGCTATGTATCATTGGTGTTCGCAACAGCGTCTTCATCCTAGAGTCCAACGGCGATGTCGAGCAGCATTGGATAACCTACTATCCCGCCAAGTCTGTCCTGCGGCACCCAAGGCTTGGCTCAAGGAAGAGACACGCATGGCTATATCTTTGAGTTCATCGACTACTTTTCTTCATGATGATCGACTTCACACCCGAGCATGGAGCGCCAAGACTGAAGAGTACGCCGCGCACCTCCTGCTCGGCATGGCTAAGGATACAGAGGCGTGGCGCTTTCGACCAGAGATGTGCCCATCCGCGTGTCTCGCATGGGCGGAGGCACGCGCCATCCTTGGTCTCCCAGCCTTTCTCCGACGGCGAGTTCGGCAGGTGGCCCCCCGCATCCCGCAGGTCTTCGCCTTCGTCAAGAGCAAGTGCTGGCACCCGCAGGGCGGCCACCTCTGCACCAAGGCGAGCCACTCCTGCGTCCGTCGGGTCGTGGGCATGGCGGGCACCCCGTTCGCGAAGGGCTGGAGGACCATGGGGCGCGCCGTGCGCGCAGTCGCGGCTGGCACAGGCCGCTCCAGGGAAGTCTTCAGCATGGACGACGTCGCCCCCGCGCTGAGGGAGACCCTGGGCCACCTCACTCCCCCCAAATGTGCCATCACTACCGAGGGGAGCTGCGGGTGGCCTTGTGAGTGCTGCGGGGCCAAGGTGGATGGCCTATCGTGTGCAGCTGTAGACGTAGATCAGGCTTTCGAGGCATGCAAGGGCGAGTCGGTCATGAGTGCATGGGGGAGAACGGCCAGGAGATTTCAAGAACGGTGGAAAGCTGATTCGGTGATGGTGCAACGGGGGCGCAAATGCGTTACCCGCATCGGTCCCTCCCGGTGGAATCGCGCCTGGTGGGTTCTGTCCTTATCTCAGCTTGGCTATGCCCTGAAAGCCTCGACCATGGTAAGTTTAGCATGCGTGGGGGAGATCGTTGTCGAGATGCTGGGTTTATGCATAGGAGGAGTTATGAGTTCAGCAGCGGTAGCAGTTCAGCTGGGCGATGAAGAGGCCAGCGTTCTGGAGGACCCCCGCAAACTCGACTCCGAGGGATGGTGTTTTCCTGGACCTGATGTTATATCTGTTTTCGCCTGGGTGAGGTACGTGGATGATATCTTGTCGTTTTCGTATCGTTTGTGTCCGACGTGCATGGTTCGTTGTCTGCGAGCGACTTTCAGGGAGCCCATCAGCATCGTTTTCTTAAGCAGCGCCAGCTCCAGAAGCGTGACCTGGCTTGACCTTGAGATCCACCTGGGCCACCAGTGCATTCAGTGGACGCTGGAAAATCTGAATCGGCAATGGTTGGCAGGCTCGTCATCATCTCATTCATCAGCGTTCTTGCCCTACTTGGACCATCTACCCGTACCTTTTACACGCCTTCGGGGAGTCTTCCTGGGCAAAATTGCGAGGGGGGTGACTCTGGAGTTACCGACGGGAGCCTTGTATGTTTGCATCATGGAGTTGTTTATCGAGCTTATCAAGTTGTCGTATCCCTTCGAGGTTGCGCGTGCATTATCTCATTCCTTGCCTCCGTCCCCAGCCGTGCGGCTCGCGAGACGGGCACTGCGCTCCTGGGGCAAGCTGTTCCTGCCTTCCCGTGGGGCGATGGGAGGCGGCAGCAAAGGAGGTGGTGGCCGTGGCCAGGGCTTCGATCAACGGAACGGACCTGGAGGAGATCAGTATCGGTGGCCGTGGGTAAAACCTGACCAACACCCAGACTCCAGAGATGGCGGACACCATAGGAGCCGTCGCAAGCACAAGAAGAGCAAGAAGGACAAGAAGAGGCCGAGGTCGTCGTCTTCTACATCATCATCGTCCTACGACTCGGACAAGCAGTTGAAGCTGGCGGAGCGCATCATGTGGAAGAAGAACCCGTCGTACCGCGAGTACGTGAGGACCAAGGAGGCCGAGAAGAGGGACGAGGAGTTTGCGAGGCAGGGGCGCATCCTGGCGGAGGCTCTGGCACCAGGCCTGCAGGCGGTCATGGCGAGTGCTGTCACGAGCACGGCCCCCACGGCGGAGTTCCCGCCGCCGCCTCCGCTGACGGCGCCTGCCAGTGGGAGCTCGGGGGCCGCCCCCGCGGGCACGGCCCCCCCCGTGAGCACCGCACCCGAGGTGCTTACCCCGCTCCAGCGCCACCTCATCTGCGCGGAGCTGGACCACAAGGTGAAGCTCACCAAGGGCACGCTGGAGGAGCTCACCAAGGAGATCGGGAGCAAGTGGTCGCAGAGGGCCGTGGTGCAGCGCCTGGACGATGGCATCAAGCGCATGGGCGGCCCCACGACCAAGGTACCACGAGCCAAAGAAGAACGGGCACGCCTTCTGTTCCAGCTAGTGCAGAAGATGGCCTGAGGAGATATCGGCGTTCATCATGAAGCTTCCGACAGTGATTCTGATGTTGGTTCCATGTTTGCTGACCCTTGCCCAGAGGTTTCCGTCCGAACAGCTGCACTTCGTAAAGATGATCGGACTTCTCAGGGCGTGGTCATTTTGCCTACTTCCGTGTTCTTTTTCCTCACTACCCTCATCCTCACCTGCGGAGTCGTTGTCGGTTACCAGCTCGTGCCACGGGATTTCATGACTTACAGCTACCTGAAATACTTGGCGATCCAAGCCGTACGCAATCTTGCCATAGGATCAGTGGGGACAATGGGAGCTACGGCCGCCTTGGCCTCCGCACCACCTGAAGTCTGGAGTTCACCAGCGCCGGCGGGGGCGAGTCTGTTTCTGGCGGCACTACCGTGGGCATTCCAGCGGGGGATGAGGTGCTTGCGGACGTGATGACTTACGGAGTTGCGGGAGCACGCATGATGCTGTGGATGCCTTCATGGTTGACCCTCTGCTCCTCGGCATCTCCCAGGAGGGACATCATCGCGTTTGTCCGTAGCTAGGTCGGCTGAGTGGGGAGTTCGCAGACGCACGCACGCTCCAGTCTGTCGCAGCTCGGTGCCATGCCAGTCAGCCGCAGGATTGGATAACGAGAGTTATCGCCACAAGAGAATCATCATCATCATCATCATCATCATCATCATCATCATCATCATCATCATCATCATCATCAGCATCAGCATCAGCATCAGCATCATCATCATGAGCAGCAGCATCAGTATCAGCATCACCATCATCGTCAGCATCAACATCAGCATCAGCATCAGCATCAGCATCAGCATCGTAATCATCATCAACCGAATCAGCATCATCATCATCATCATCATCATCATCATCATCACCCCGTCCCATTCTCGAAACTATTCTTCTGCATTCCCGCGGGGGAGGCCGCTCCTGGCTGCACTTATGCGGGGAGGGGGCGCGGTCCTCGCGCTGGGTGCCCGCGCCTGCGTGGCCCCCTCGAGCCGGCGGCCGGCGGCGTTACAAATGACCATCACTCCTTCCTCCTGCTTCCTCCCTCCCTCCGCCCTCCATCCGCTGCTTGCCTTCAAAATGACCTCTCCCCGTCGCACTCCTGGACGTGCTGGTGGGGCGGGCTGGGCGTGTCGCCTGGGGCTTCCACGCCGGCTGTCGTCCTGAAGCTCGACGTTTTCAGCAGCTTCACGGAGGGAGGGCGGGCCCTGTTCAAGATGTGGCTCTCGCCTTCGCGCCATGCACATTCGTCGTTAAAGTTTGTAGCAGCTTCACGGATGGAGGGCGGGTCGTTCTCAAAACGTGGCTCTCGCCTTGGCGCCGCGCACATTCGTCCTGAAAACTCGCAACAGTTTCATGGATGGAGGGCGGGTGCTTTTCGAAATGTGACTCTCGCCCTAGCGCCGGGCACACTCGACTAAAAAATACGCAACGGTTCCAATGATGGAGGGCGGTTCCTCTTCAAAGTGCGGCTCTCGTCTAGGCGCCGAGCCAATTCGTCTTCAGTCTTTGACAGATAAAAATGAGTCGGATCTTCCTGCTCCTCCTCATCCCCCTCCACCTCATCATCATCATCATCATCATCATCATCATCATCATCATCATCATCATCGTCATCGTCATCATCATCATCATCATCATCATCATCATCATCATCATCATCATCGTCATCGTCATCGTCGTCGTCATCGTCATCGTCATCGTCATCATCATCGCCGTTATCATTACCATTACAATCGGCATCATCAGACTCATCATCGTCAAAATCAAAACCATCACCACCACCATCATCATCGTTATCATCATCACCACCACAATTATCATCAGCATCGTCATCACCATTGTCCATCTGCTTTCCTTCCTCCTCACCCTTGTGAAGGTCGAGCAACCCTTCCTTGTTTTGCAAACGAATTGTTATGCGCTCTGGCTTTGGGAAAGGCTCCGTCCGAGTTGCGCAAGTCCCCTCGGAAAGCCCGAGCAGGAAATTCTGTACATAAAGGCTGTGATCGTTGTTCGATGCCTAGCTGCATTCCTAAAACCTCCTACCCCAGCTTTGCTATTCCTCCATCTCTGCGAAGCGACCGATCATTTCGGCATTGCGCCGCTGAAAAGCCTACCACATCATCCTTTCATACGCGGCTGCGCCGCCATGCACGCCGCCGGCCGCGCCCGCCCGTTCAGGGCCCACGCTAGCCAGTGCACTCCGCACTGGTAGCCGAGCGTTTGGCGTGCGCTCCACTTGTCGTCAACGGCGACGGCATCGAGTGCTATCAGCTCCGAATTTGGTGGCAGTGACATCGACGATTGGAGCATGCCGCCTTCTGGTGCTGCTGACAGTTCCGGTTCCCCCCAGGTGTCGGCCAGCGAGACCGGCAAGATCTCGGGCCTGCGCATCGAGCAGTTCAGCGGTTCGCGCAACCCGCAGGTCTACGAGGACTGGAAGCGGAATGTGGAAAGCGTGAAGTTCATCAGCGAACTGGCTTCCAACAAGCTAGAAGTGGTGGCATCGATGAGCCTGGTTGGAGAGGCTCAGGATTTGACGCGCCACATCACGTTGGCGGAGTTGCAGGACGAGTCTGGCGACGGCCTCAAGAAGATCCACGAGGTGCTGGACAAGCGCTTCCTGAAGCAGGACCACGAACAGTACGACTACGACGCTGCCAAGTATGAGAGAAGTTCAGACGTTCGCGTGGCACATCGATGCAGGAGTGTCTCACGACCCTGCTGCAAATCCGCGCAGAGTACGAGGCATCGGACAAGGACACGGCTGTGTCCTCCCAGGCGTACGCCTGCAAGATGCTCAAGTGTGCTGGACTGTCTCGCGACACCACGCCAAGATAGGAACGAGCTTGATCATGATGTTTGGTGACGCCCACCTGGACGATGCCAAGCACCGCGACGGGCACCTCGCTCCACCTGCATCGCGTCCTGGGCCAGCTGGACGTGGAGCTCACAGCGGTGGCCCGAGTGTGTCGAGTGGTTATCCCTCGCGTTCTCAGCTCGGCAAGGGCAGTGGCAAAGGAGGCGGCCGCTGGGGTCGCTTCGGCACGGGAGGCTTCGGCACGTACCACGAGAACAATGAGGATGACGACGACAGCTTCCTCGATGGTTTCGATGTTTAGGGTGATGTTGACTACGAGCAGGGCGCCTACCAGGGGGAAGAGGGCGACCGCGACCAGGAGAACGAGGACGCCGACGAAGAAGGACGCGACGACGCGACGAGCTCGGCGTCTTCGTGGCGAAGACTTTCGGGGCGTTCAAGGCGCGCGGCCGCGGTCGCCGACGTGACGCAGGTTCGGCGAGGTCCTCGTCATGACACAGTGCGCGCGTTCCTACCATCTCCCACCCTTCGCCCTCTATACGTACGTCCTCTTCTGAGTTCCTGAGGCTTCCTGAGGTGCCGGCAGAAAGGCCTGCATATATATATATACATACATATATATATATATATATGTATGCCCACCAGGGGCTGCCTTTTTGTATAGGCCCATCACGGGCAGCGTGATAGGGCATGGCATGGGCCTGAGTGCTTGAGGACCTCTGGAGAGCCTTCTGGATATTCGCCGCCCGCCGCCGTTTGGCTCTGCGGGCCCTGCAGGGCCCTCGACCGATTCACGGCTGCGCCCGGGCCGGGCGCGATCGCGCGGCGCGCAGCGCGACGCCAGGAAAAGCACTGCGACTCCGCCAGAGTGGTAGCGGAGCCCGCCGCTGGCGGGCAGAGATCCACGGTGTTCGGCGGCGCCGAGCAGCAGCAAGCAGCTCCAGCGGCACTGGAGGTGGCCGCGACAAGTTCTGCACCCGGCTCGCCTGCGACGAGCACGGCTTCGAGCTCGACGGCGTCGAGGCTCAATGCAGTACAGGATGGATCGTGAAGAACATCCTGGCGCAGGCGGCGGCGCTGAGGGCTACAGCCTCATCCCGGTCTGGGATGGAGCGCCGCAGGATTGGAGGCGCTACCGCGACGACGCGGAGATGTGGGCGCTTGGCACCGACCTAGAGGTGAACTACTGCGTGGCGGCGCGGCTCGTGAGCAGGCTGAAGGGCACCGCCAGGAGGGTCGGCCTCAGGATCCCGAGGGAGAGGCTGCTGCCACTCCTAGCGTCGCCCGCGGAGTATGACGACGATGGACAACTGGTCCGCGAGGCGACGGAGGCCGACAGCATGAGAGGTATCAACAACGTGCTCGGAACGCTGGAGGCAGCGCTAGGCGGGCAGCATGTGGTCGGACGTGACGAGACGATGTCCGACTTCTTCAAGGGCACACAGGTTCGAGGAGGGCGTTCAAAGGCTCGAGGATGACGGAGTACGATTCGCGGACCAGGGCGACATCCTGCTCTTGGAGAAGTGCTGTCTCTCGCCCGAGCGCCGAGAGCGAGTGGTGGCGGGCCTTCCGGACGACAAGTACTAGTACAAGGATTTGAAAACGATCGTGATCAGAAACTTCCTGGACTTACACATGACGGAGAGCCGACGGACACAGCATCCTGCACGATTCCAGCAGCGAGGACAGCACCAAGGGTTCGGCCAGAGACGGCCCGGTCCTGCAGGCTCGGGCTCGTCAACACGTGGCGTGAACGCGACGGGGGTAGAGGACCAGGCGGAGGACCACAGTGACGAGCAACAGCAGGACGACGTCTACGCCGACGGCTTCGAGGAGCACGAGCACGAGGTTAACGAGGTGGAAGTCTCGGAGATCCAGGGATTCGTGCGCCAGAAGCTGGAGGCGCTCGCGACGGAGCTGGAGGACAGCACGCTGGACCTTCCGCCCGAGGACTCCGCGGCGCTGGAGGAGGCGGCGCTGCAGGTCTCACATTTCACGGAGGCGCTGGAGGTCATCCGAGACGCGCGTGGACGCATCCAGGGTCGTGCTGGAGGTGACGGCAAGGCGAAGGGCAAGAGCCGTGGCAAGCCAGGTGGGCGCTCGTTTTCTGGTGCAGGGCGCAGCGGGCCCCTGTCCCGGCAAGGGCAAGGAGCTCGCCGAGAAGCTGAGGCAGAGGAAGCTCAAGTCGACCTGCAAGGCTTGCGGACTGCCAGGGCACTGGGCAGGCGATCCATAGTGCAAGGCCCCGCGTACCACGCTGGCCACGGTAGCAGGTGAGGACTCGGACTCGGCCCACGACGCGTTGTCCGTCGAGCAGGTGAAAGCCGTTCAGAACAAGACGAAGGAGGTGCTTGGGAATGAGCTGATTCAGAAGGTGAAGGACCACCTCCGCGGAGTGGTCGACACAGCGTGTGTCATCTCGGTGATGGGCGATGGTGCCTACCTGGAGGTGTTGGCGGAGCTGGGCATCAGCTACCTCGTCGAGCGCGAAGAGATCACCGAGAAGATCAGGTTCGGCGATGGCGGCAGGCTGATGTCCTACGAGGCGTTCCGCCTCCCAGCGGTGGTGGCAGGCATGCCGGTGATGGTGAGCGCCTGCGTGGAGAAGAGCGACAGGCTGAAATGGCTCCTGGGTCGCGACTTCCTGGAGGCGATCGGCGCGGGCATCAACGTGGCGAGGCGCAAGCTCACGGTGGGCTCCGGGTCGCAGCCGCTGCTTGACTCGGAGAATCGCCACTTCGCGCTGGAGCTCAAGTCTGAGAAGTATCGCGCACTCTCGGAGGCCTACGAGGACAAGGAGGAGATTCCGCCCAAGCTCGGCCACTGGGCTAGGCCACCACCGCCTCCGCGTGGAGGCATGGACGCGCTGGTGCTGAAGGTGTTCGCGATCGCAGCGACCAGGTGCTGTTCGGAGGCCAAGGTCAGCACGACGATAGGCGACGAGCCCAGGAATCAGAACAAGGCGAACGGCAACACCACCATCAAGAACACGACCGACGACACCTGGACTCCGACGACGGATAACATCACATCAGAGGGCACGCCTACGTGCAGCGTCACGTATGGTGCCTGCTCGGCCTGTTGCGGGACTGGGACGCTCTACGAGTGTCAGGTGTGCCACATGAGATCGTGCCCGTCGTGCCGTCGAGGATTGCAGTGCTCGAGGTGCTAAGACGGCGTGGGCAACGACAAGGTGGGAGTGGGCAACGGCACGGAGTTCGCGG